CTCCGGCTATAGCGACATGACTACAAGGGCATGCTACTCTCACCTCTGTTAAGTTGGCTGGGCAATCAGTCTTGTTATGCAGTGATCCCTTTAGTCAGTGTGCCCCAGGACTGGGGCTGGATGGGCCAGAACAGTGTCCCTAGACTGTGGGTCTGGAGAGCAGTCCACCGGAAAGGCAAATCCCAAATCAAAAAGACTTTCCAAGCCTCTGTGGCACCAGTTTTCTGGCACCTTTCAGTCCAAATATGGCCAAGTCTAGCATCAGGGCACAAAATCCCTGGGCACCCAGATGAGAAGACACAGAGAGGAGTAAGTCCATCAGGAGCCATGGCTGCAGCAGCACCCTGGAATGGCTCAGGACTGCCGGGGGGCATTCTCTCTGCTTGCTCATCCTGGTCTGTGCTCATCATTCAGTTGTGAACGGGAGACAAAGAACCAGGCCAGAAAAAGCAGCAGTGCTTTGAAAAAGCTGTGACATTTCAAAAATTCAGCAGGAACAAAAATGTGCAGTGTTCCTTGGGAAGGAGACACAAAGCCGAGTGAGCAGATACTATGACCATCAACAGATACTGAGATCTTTTCACACTTGCTGCAAAGCAAGGTTTGTTTTGAGCTTGAAAGAAAAATCAGTTTCACATTATGAAAAGGAGTCATGGACCAAATTATAAAATGTGAATGCATGAAATTACCAAACAAATAACATGTTTGTGTTAAAAAAAAATGTATTTGTATGATCAGTGACTAGTTTGTCCTAATCTCAAATTGCATATAATTTGACATTATGTATATGCTTTTTTAAGATTTATTTATTTTTATTGGAAAGTCAGATACACAGAGAGGAGGAGAGACAGAGAGGAAGATCTTCTGTCTGACGATTGACTTCCCCAAATGACCGCAACAGCCGGTACTGCGCTAATTCGAAGCCAGGAGCCAGGAACTTCCTCCAGGTCTCCCTTGCAGATGCAGGGTGAATATCCTGGACTCCACCCAAGAGAAGGCAGAAGTTCCTGAGGGACAGACATCTTGCCTTAAGTTGGTCAGCACCGAGCTTGGTTCCTAAGCTGTAAACACAGTGTACCTTTTACGTAAGGGCATGGCAAATTGTGGGGATGACAGCACATTTCTATTTTAAAAGTATTCTCTCTTGGGTCCTATGCCATAGCTCAATAGGCCAGTCCTCCACCTGCAAGCGCTGGCATTCCATATGGGTGCTGGTTCATGCCCCAGTTGCTCCACTTCCCATCAAGCTCCCTGCCTGCAGCCTAGGAAAGCAGTAAAGGATGGTCCAATGCCTTGAAACCCTGAATTCTCGTGGGAGACCTGGAAGAAGCTCCTGGCTTCAGATTGGCTCAGTTCTGGCCATTGTGTCCACTTGGGGAGTGAGTGAACCAGTGGATAGAAGATCTTCTCTCTCCTCTCTGTAAATCTGACTTTCCAATAAAATTAAATAAATCTTAAAAAAAAAATACTCGTTCTTGTGGTAACTCAAGTTCCCCAAACCAGCATGTTCTGCAAGATGTGTTATGACTCCGAGTGTACTGCCCTCTGTGATGTGGCTGTTACTCTGCAGGTCCAGGTGCCTGAGGAAGAGGTGGCCCATGGAGGAGGAGAGCCACTTAGCACCCACTGACTTGAATTAAATGATGACCAACAGGCAGATAACCTGGTCTCCACAGGATACTTGATTATGCTTAAGTGACTTGGAAGGATTGTACTTCATTTAATGAAGTGACAAGGGCAGGCAAAAAGTGTCACCAGAAAAGATCTTCAAAGGAGGTAATATAGATTAAAGCACTCTGGACCCACAGGCTTGTTGTTGGTGGGCCTGCTCCTCTCCATCCCTGACAGCCCCCTTTTTGAGCCTCATTGACTTCTGGACCACCACTGCCACTGGCCAAACTTTGGCTGGGACTGCCATGCAATCCCCAGAAGGCTGCCTGGGAGAGAAGGGCTACTTCTATGTTCTGAACAACAGGCTCAGAACTTGTTTGTACAGCAAGCTGGCTGTAGAACAGCATTAGAGCAAGGTGTGCATACCTGACATTGAAGCACGCACACAGTGACCGCTTCCTGATAACTGTGAGAGCCAAGAGAAACGCCTGGATAGAGGAGGTCACCTAAAGCTGCCGACTGGGACGCCTGCATTCCATGTCACAGTGCCTGGGCTTGAGACACCTGCTCTGTGCCCAGCTCCAGCCTCCTGCTAATGCACACTCTAGGAGGCAACAGGTGCTAAGTCCAAGAACTTGGATCCCTGCCATCCATCAGGGGCAGCTGGATGCAGTTCCTGGCTCCTGGCTTTGGCTTGACATGCAAGCCAGCCCTGGCTGTTGTAGACATTTGGGGAATGAACCAGCAAGAGGGAAAATGTTGTGCTTGCTTCAGCAGCACATATACTAAAAAAATGAAAGAGAGAAAATGTTTATCTGTGTATCTATTTCTATTTCTCTGACCATTAAATAAATGAAAATACATTTTCAAGTTTTTTAAAACATTTATTTATTTTTGTTAGAAAGGAAGATTTACAGAGGGAGGGACAGATACAGAAAGATCTTCTATGCTCTGCTTCACTCCTCAAATGGCCACAACAGCCAGAGCTGAGCAGATCCAAGACCAACAGCCAGGAGCTTCTTTGAGACCTCCAGCGTGGGTGCAGGGTCCAAGGCCTTGGGCCATCTGCTGCTTTCCCAGGCCATTAGCAGGGTGCTGGATGGGAAGTGGAGCAGCTGGGACTGAAACTGGTGCCCGCATGGGATGCTAATGCTACAGGGAGAGGATTAGCCTGTTGAGCCCAAGTGCCATCCCCTGAAGTTATTTTTCTATAAACTGAAACAGGAATGCTAATGGCAGCAGTGTGAGGAAGCTGTATTAGCGATAATATCACTAAAAAGCAGCTAGCTAGAGAAGCACTTGACACACCTGCACATCTCCCAGGGTTATCTGCGGTTGTTATCACAGTCTCAGGAGCTTGAGGAATAAATGCTGCTCCTCCCTCAGGATGCTCAGCAGATATGGTGATAAGTGATGGAGGTCTCAGGCTTTGGGCTGCAGCAGCAAGCGCAGAGGCTGTGCAACCACCAGTGTGGGTTTTCATCTCTTCTTCACCAGCTCCCGACTATGACCTCAGAGAAGTCAGTTACACTGTGCACCTCAATTCTTCCTCTGTAGAATGTGGATAAGAATGATAAGCAGCCTGGCCGCTTCTCGTGACGGTGGCTCAGCTGAGATAATGGTTGTGAAAGTGCTTTGTCAAGTGGAAAAGGCTTGTCCATCCTTCTTCCCAAGATACTTATCTGATGTGGATGACTCCATGACTGAAGGGTGCGGCTCAGCCTCCCTGTCTTCTAGGAGGACCCGGGGGCAACAGGTCAGTCCAGATGAGTTAGGATGAGTGTGAGAAGCCAAAGTGGCTGGGCTGCAAGGACAGATGGCTACACGAAGGACACGTCCGGGTCAGGGATACGCAAGCAATGTGAGTTTTATTTATTTATTTGTTTATTTATTTATTTGAAATCTCCAATTACAACAACACATTTTAAACATTTTAAGAATGGGTTGCCTACAAGCATCACAGGTTTCATGTTTCATTCTGGTAAGGTCTCTGGTATGGCTGTAGGGTCACACATCAACTCCCCAGTTCTCAATTATCCAGATAACACCCTGCCCAGATAATACTAAATTGGCACATTTCACGGCAGTGGGAAGATCTACTCTCCCAGAATATTTTCTAGGGACATACTGGTTTAGATATGTACACACACACACACATATATACAGATATGGAATAGTATTTGGTCATTAAAAAGAACACCGGGGGAGCAAGGGCTCAATTGGTTAATCTTCTGCCTGCAAGTGCTGGCAACTCATATGGGTGTTGGTTCCCGTTCCAGCTGCTCCATGTCCCATCCAGCTCTCCTGCTTACAGTCTGGGAAAGCAGTGGAGGACAGCCCAAAGTCTTGGGACCCTAGACCTGCGTGGGAAACCTGTAAGAACCTCCTAGCTTTGGATTGGCTCAGCTCTGGCTACTTGGAGAGTGTCTGTCTTTCCTCTCTGTAAGACTGCCTTTCCAATAGAAATAAATAAATCTTAAAAAAAAAAAAAGGAACACAGAACTGACACAGCAACACCTTATGCTGAGTGAAGACTCTCAGGTAGAAACTAGCAGATACAGCATAACTCCATTTCTGTTCTGTTTTAGAACAGCTAAAATGAATCCACAACAGCAACAGCACAGTGATTGCCCCGGACCACAGTGCCTGTTCCAAACTTTTAAAATTTTAAAATAAAATAACTATGTTAATATGCAATGAGATAATTATTTTATACAACAATGGATGTTTAAAAAGTTTCTCAGCACTGATTTCCAATGCAGAAATGATCAGTAGATAGAAGCTGCCCATGCAAAAGCTCTTGGAAATCCCCAATAAGTTTCAAGAATGTTAAGAGGCAGTGGAACCAGAAAGTTCGAGAATCTTAGTGAAAAGAACTGCATGCAGCTCTAGATTTTTCAGGGAACTGTGTGCCTGTGCCTCGGTTTACCTCTGATCTGACAACCCCCCGTGAGGGGGACTGCTATTGGTCTTCTCCTCTTCCTAATGTTTACCTGTTCTTTAGGTTTACATAGCGATGGTCTCTGACATGAGCGGTTGCCCAGGAAAGGAAAATTGGGAAACTTGGGTGACAAAATTTCTGCTCTGTTGAATTATTAAAAGCTATATAGTGCATGCACAGCTTGCCTTTCATAATAAACAATCAGGAGTGAAAATCACGCTTAGAAGGAATAAGTATTGAAGTTAGTTCAAGGCCTACAGATCCACAACACCACCAGCCACGAGTAGCTTTTCCCCTTCATTACCCTCTTCCGCCTACCCGGGGAAGACCCCGCCCCCCGAACAGAGGCCCCGCCCCGAGCAGAGGACCCACCATAGCAGAAGCCCCGCCCCCGATCGGAAGACCCGCCCACCGGGTAACTTCCGGTCTCGTCCCTCTTCCCGAACTCCCTCTGGCTCCCGCCTTCGCCCGCTTCCGGTCGTCGTCGTCGTCGCCGCTGCCGCTTCTCCTGCTGCTGAGGCTACTGGCGGAGGCCGGAGGATCGGGCGGCGGCGGCGGCGGCGGCGGGAGCGGAGCGGGACGAGGAGTGAGAGGGAGCGAACCAGGAGCGAGCCGAGCGAGGCCTTTCGTCCGCCCGCCGAACCGCCGCCGCTGCCGCCAGTCCGCCCGTCGGACAAAGCCGAGAGCTCGCGCCCACAGCCATGTCCTCGTCCGCTGGCAGCGGCCATCAGCCCAGCCAGAGCCGTGCCATCCCCACGCGCACCGTGCCCATCAGCGACGCCGCGCAGCTACCTCATGATTACTGCACCACGCCCGGAGGGACTCTCTTCTCCACCACACCGGGAGGTGAGCCAGCCTTGCCCTGCCCCGCTAGCCGAGTGCGCGCCCCCTTCCAGGGACTAGGAGAGGAACGGTGGGGGCGTGGAGGGCGTGCGAGCCCTTGGGGGGCGCGGAGAGCGAGCGAGCCCTTGGGGGGACGCAGAGGACTGGCGAGCCCTTGGGGAGACGCGGGAGAGCGAGCAGCCCCCATAAGGCTCGAAGGTGGGCAGCTCTTGAGGGGCGCGGAGGGTGTGCGAGCCCTTTGGGCTGCGTGGCCGTTGGAACGCGCACTCGACCCAGTTTTCACTCGCTCCCCGCCTCGGAGTTCAGGCCCCCGCTTCGCGTGACCTGGTCCTCAGTGGCAGCGGATTGTGCACAGTCAGCCTTGATTATTGGAGTTGTGTGTCCGGGGGCCTTTTTTGGAGTGGAATCATCGGCGCGGGGCGGGGAGCGGGAGAGAAAGGTTTGGAGTTCTCGGGATCCAAGGATAGTTTGTTGTGCTGCTTTGAGAACCCCAGGAGGAGGCTCCCTTGCCAGGTGTGGAAGCCTCGCCCAATGTTAGCCTGCTTTGACACCATTGTTTACTGGCTGTGTGTGTGTAGGGGGCAGTCCTCAGGCCGGACAGACGGGGTAAAGTAAGGCTCAAGTGGTAGCGGAGCGAAAGGAGGTGAGGTGGCCAAGCACTGGCAGCTTCAGGGGATGGGGGAGATTGATTGGCCGTGCTTTTGTTGGCTTCCTCGGAGGGGGCATTGTCAGGCTGGGTGGGCTGCTCGATTCTGAGGAAGGTTGTGGGCATTGCTTTCCGGAGTAGTTGGGAACTGTTTACTGTACTTGGAGGAAGGTGCCAGGTGTGTTTGAATTGGTCACGGGAAAGGGGGGCTCAAAGGTTGTCTATTCTCGGAGGGGCGAGGATGGGCAAGGTCTTTTTTTTTTTTTTTTTTTTTTTAAGGAGCATGTTCTGAAGGCCACTAGGCCTCTGTTGTTGGAACTTGAGAACTTTGCCTTCTATGGGTGATGGGATGGCCTCTCACTGGAGGGTGGGAACATCGCTGGCAGCCCCTGCCAGGGGCAGGCTCCCTAGCCTCCTTCCTGTGGGCTGGGCCCACGACTTGCACCGCAGCCAATCCGGTGCAGCCAGGCCTGGGCCGGCCTCTAATCGATTGCACAATAGCAAGGCCTGCAGAATACCCAACGCCAACGGATAAAAATCTAGCAGGAAGCTTTTGCAGAGGAATCCAGCCGGGCCACTGGAGGGGAAGGGTGGGGGCCTCAGGAGACTCGACCATGACCTCACTAAAAGTGCATGGTTGTGTGTGCAGAGCTGGATTTAAGGAAACAAGGCTTTTCTCAGGGAGGGACTTAGCACCCTCCCAGCCAGACCTGTGCTTGAATATGCTTTTAAGTTGCCCAGAGTCGGCTCCAGGGGGGAGGGGGTCCTGACCATGATTGGACTGATATCATTTAAGGAAACAGGCCTGGCTTTCCAAGGGCCTTTCAGACTTCTTTGTGGTGTTGGTTTGCAAATGCCTGTGCTCCCAACAGTCCGAGGAGTCCCAGGAACACCTGCGCTTAGTCATTCAGGGGAGGGAGCTAGACTTTGAGCTTTGAGTGCATCAGTATTCCCCCAGGGAATCACTGCAGAGGGCGAGCTGCCATGCTTTTGAAATAAAGGCATAATTGGCCCAGTGCGGTGGCCTAACAGCTAAAGTCCTTGCCTTGAACACGTTGGGATCCCATATGGGTGCTGGTTCTAATGCCAGCAGCTCCACTTCCCATTCAGCTCCCTGCTTGTGGCCTGGGAAAGCAGTGGAGGACGGCCCAGAGCCTTGGGACCCTGCACCCGTGTGGGAGACCCAAAAGAGGATCTGGGCTCCTGGCTACAGATCGGCGAAGCACTTGCTATTGTGGTCACTTTGGGCGTGAATCATCGGACGGAAGGTCTTCCTCTGTATATGACTTTTGCAATAAAAAAATAACTAACTAACTGAATAAATAAAGGCATAATCTTTAGGCTTTGCTTTCAGGATAGAAACCCAACTCTTCGTCTGGAACAGTGGCTCAAATGCTTGTCCCTCCCCGCAACACATACATCCCCATTAGCTGGCCATTAAATCGCTTCTCTTATTCTTCAGTTTTATATTTAAATACTCATTTTCTTGACTCATGAATTTTTAAATTTATTTTTATTGGAAAGACAGATCTATAGAAAGACATCCATCTGCTGGTTCACTCCATAAGTGGCTCCAATGGCTGGATCTAAGCCAATTCTAAATCAGGAGCTTTTTTTTTTAAGGTCTCCTGTATGGATGCAGGGTCCAAAGGCTTTAGTGTGTCCTAAGTCACCAGCAGGGAGTTGGATGGGAAGTGGAGCAGTCAGGACATGAACCAGCACTCATGGGATCCTCGTGTGTGCAAGGCGAGGATTTAGGCAGTTAGCACTGTCATGCTAAGTACTTACTGACTCCTTTTTGGCCCTTTAGTACTTAATAAGAAGTACAGTTTCTTATCCAGATGAGCTTAAGATTCTGATTTGGGAAGGGAAAGAGAAGCAAGTTAAGATTTATAGTTCTGGGATTACAGAGAATCAAATACTGGCTTATGTATTTCAGACTTGGAGACAATAAGAGTGGGCACATTTGTGTTAGAAATATGTTCAGCTATGAGGGAGAGAATTAACAATTCTTGCTTCAAACTCCTTGGGTGTCACACCCAGCCGAGCATTCGAGGGTAAAAGTTGTGCTCAGTGCCCTTACTGAGCAGACTAGGCAGGGACGTCCACAACATAGTGAACGGAAGATTTCTCCCCTCTACCCTTGGTGGGTCAGAGGACGCAGCACACCCTGTATGTAGGTGCCCCTGCAGCACCTTCCTGAGTGTGGGAAGTAAGTGATGGTGGAAAACAACCTGGTGGAATGTCCTTTGTTTCTTTACTACGAAAAATTTTTTTGTTGAGGACATTTAAGGTATGTAACTGTCCTTATGTTTATATATATATGTGTGTGTATGTACATGTATATATTTAAGATGTTTTTTAAAGATTTATTTCTTTTTATTGGGAAGGCGGAGAGACAGAGAGGAAGATCTTTCATTTGCTGGTTCACTCCCCAAGTAGCTGTAACAGCTGGAGCTGAGCCAATCCAAAGCCAGGAGCTGCTTCCAGGTCTCTCACATGGGTGCAGGGTCCTAAGGCTTTGACCTGTCCTCCACTGCTTTCCCAGGCCACAAGCAGGGAGCTGGATGGGAAGTGGGGCAGCTGGGATATGATCCAGCACCCAAATGGGATGCCAGCACATGCAAGGCAAGGACTTTAGTCGCTAGACCACCGCATCAGGCCCACTTTATATTTTTTATCTTTCTGTGGAGGAATTGGGGATATTTAAGTTCTCCATTGAGAAGCTACTTCCAGCTCTAGTGGAAGGTAAAGTTAGTAGGTAAGGAATCTGTTGGGTTCAGTTTATAAATGAGAGAAATGAGACCCAGAAAATTAAGTCCTTGTAAAGTATCCTACAGCTAATTAGTGTCAGTGGGTTGCCTTAAATTTAGTACATTGAGTATTATTCCAATCTTATCCTCTGCTATCATAAGATATTTTTCAACATTCAGACATTTTCCTGCCTCTAGCTAATGTGGTTGTGCTTTCTGGGGGCTGAACCGGGTCTCCTGGGAGGGTTGTGTGCTAGGCAGTCAGTACAGTCACAGAAACCTCTTGCCTTTCTCTGTGTGACATCCTCATCAGCCCTGGCAAATGCTCTTTGCCATGATAAGATCTGAGATGATGCGTGGCTCTTCCTCACCTGCTGGGTAGCTGCTGGGACTGGCCCACTGGGGCGGATTGACCTGAAGGCCATCAGAAGGGTCTGCAAGTAAAGGAGAAGACAGGAAGACAGCAAGATGATGCACTTAGTGTGAGCTCTGCCAAGGAGCAAGGAGGTGGAGGTGCTGCCGTGCCATCTGCTTCCTCTGAGGGGGAGTGAGACGAGTCTGCCTGCAGGCACGGGGAAGGAAGGTCAGCTGCTGACCATATTGTTTGCTGTTTGGTGTTCTTGGGTGGAATTTATTCCAGGACAACAACTTCTGAACCAACCAATGTACTTATTAAGTCTAGCTTTAGTTAACAGCCAAAGGATTTCATTATTGTGCGCAGAAAGTACATGGCCAAGTAATGAAGGGTGTAAAATCATTTTGCTCCGTGGTAGAGCAATGACATTTACTTATCACAGCACAGGTGATCATTCCATGGGATATTCAGCTGTTGTCTTGTATTCATGAGTTTCCAAAGTATATATTGAAAAAGATGTCCTTTTTGTTCTTAAACTGGGTGCATTTTGCTGGCGAAGGCTTTAATGCTGGTGTATTGTTAAGATTCATGTATTTGAAAGGCTGAGAGAGACCGCTTCCATCCTCATTCACTCCTCAAGTAGCCGCAATGACTAGAACTGAACCTGGGCCAAGTGGAAGCCAGGAGCTTCTTCTGGATCTCCCACATAGAAGACAGTATCCCAGGAACTTGGGCTATCTTGCACTGCTTTCCCAAGCACATCAACAGGGAGCTGAATCAGAAGTGGGGCAGCTGAGACTGGCCCCGGAGCTGTGGGCCCCAAGGGTTTGAATTCTGCATCTGGGCAAGATCACGTTCTCCATCCTCAAGTCAGTGCCCTCTGGAACCTGCACCTCTGTCTGCCCTAAGTCAGCCAGCTTCTGGGGCCTGCTGGCGCTCCTGTGGCAGGCCTGTGTGCTCCCTTCTGCTTCCCTGAGGCCTGTGGCCTGAGATTGGAGGAAGAAGTGATGATCCTGTTACCTGACACCACCAAGGTTATTGGCAGAGACCTTTTGAGGTCTTAAAGACAGGTTTATAGGCGGGATCATGGAATTACTGTGTAGGTTTGACAAACAGTGTGTCTAAATATTTGCAGGACAGGTAGGGTAAAGGTACAATGGAGAAAGCTTGTTCATCTGGTTAGAAAGGAAAATTTGAGAAGGAAGGCAAATTGTTGCCAAGAAGCCAGAACTTTTTCTTGCTTCCCAAG